TTAGACATCTAAGTATACTTTACTTTCCCTCTCCCAGTTTTCAAGAGTAGAATAAAAATTAGCCATGAAATGGAGACCAATTTCACTTTATTCCCCCAAAGAAAGTAATCCACAACTCATAATTTGTACAACATCAACTCTATCCAAAGTGTCCTAATATTTATTAGCATTGTCTGTATTTATAAAGAAAAGGATGAGCTATTCCACACATTTGTTTAACACTAGTTAGGTGTTGTTATGTTTTGGTTTTCTCTGTAAGGCAAATGCACCAGCTGTCACAGCAGTTTGTGGGAGAGAAAAGTCACTCCACAAAGATGGTCACCAGGGAAGCTGCCACTGCAGCTGATTTCTCACCTGTCTCTCAATTTCACAGATCTAAATCCTACTGGAACTAATGGAAAGGTGGTACTTTCTGTCTCACAGCTTCTTTAACAGTGGTCAAAAGCAACCACATGAATGTATGTTCTCTCAGCCTAATCTACTCCCCAAAGAGAAAATGCCTTTAACCACTTTTGCTATTTTTGGTTTCCAATCACTTGAAGCCTGGGCATAATTTATGGCAATCTTCTGCTATGCTTCATTGTGGTAGCACACTGAGGTTGGCAAAATTTAGCTGTGTTGGCAGCTCAGAACACCTGTCATAAACCAAGCTGGTGTATTCATATTCTGGACTACAGCATCCATTAAAATATACATTCATCCACTGATCATCCTTCTTAAACCTCAACAATTAAGAAACAAGTTTTCTACCAAGATGGGAATGCTACCATTCAGCAAAAGCAAGCTATCGAAAATGCTTAGATCCCCTGAATGTGGTTAAAAATATGGATAGGCATATCAAAACAGATCATCATCATCATCATCATCATCATCATCATCCCAACAATAAGTAAAAGCTGTTCTGCTCTTGCGTACCTTAATCTCACAAAATTTTGTCTGACACAAACAAGTTTTATATTGTTTTCTGCTCTGAAAGAGAAATGTTCTCACAACACCGGAGTTCTTCCATAGCTGAACTAATTTCAGTTGAGCACAGAAGGAAATAATGTGAAGAGAAGGGCAATACTGGGTCTGTGAAGAGGGCAATTTTCTGACAGTGAGAACATTCATCCCATTATCTTGCCCTCCACTCCTTGACAACCTCCTTTCCCCGAAGTCAAGGCAGCTATGACGCTTGGCCACCATTTTATTATTATTTTTTTAGTAGAACAGAGAAACAGCACTGCAGCTCTTCGCAGTGGGTGACTCCCCTCTCTGAAAAAACAAATGGGGGGAAGGGAGGCACTGGCTGGACGCTTCTCCCACTGGTCAGGTAGTGTTAGCACTGCTCAGCTCACAGACTACTAGAGAATTGCAAAAACAGCATCAGTGAGGACACTCATAGATCTTTTGAGGTTGGGTGGGAGACGAAGCTGGTGGCTATGTGACTACGTGTTTAGGCACCACTATCATAACCACATAGCTCTTTATACTATTATTGCATTCAGAAACTGTACAGAATGAATGAGAAAAATCAAGATAATTTATTATAGCAGTTTTCCTAAACACATATGCCCTGCAACAAATCAAAATACCTGCTTGTAACCAAAGACAAAACTTTGTAAACTATGCATGAACTTAATCCCAAACTCTTAGCTAAGTAGCCCACATGCCTGTCATACACAATTAAGGATTAGGGTTTGGTTCTCTATCAATATACAACTTACAAATCCTGGCTTGTTTTAGACCAAGCCATATCTCTGCTTTTGAATTAGTTTAGAAAGAATGACCCCCAAGTAAAAATCATTGTATTTGCATAATCCAGAATTTTCCCGAACCTGGATGATTCTATTCAAAACAACCCATGCATATGAGAGAATACTAGGGATTCAGTTGTAAATGCTTATTAAAATATAAACTGATAGCACAACACTGTAATGTTTAATCAGAAGTAAATCTCAGTGAGTTCATCTTCTTCCAGGCTAGTGAACATGTAGGATTATATCTTAAGTATTCTTGATTCAGATACACTTTAAACTAGATTATTTGAAGAGGTCAAAAACTATTTGTAATCAAATAAAAATAACTCCTTTTCTTTAAAAATGATTTATCTATTCTGATATTTATTAGGAGAGGAAGTATTTATCATTCTTGTCCTAATCTCTGTATTTTTTCAAAAAAACCAAAATCAAAAACTGAAGCACAGCCGAAATGGTTTATCATCCTCTCTGGGGACAGGGTTAGCATAAAATCTATCTCCTCTAAAGAATCTCTCTTCATTAGTGATTACTCTTACTTATTAACAAAGTCTTTATTAATTAGTACACGTCACTAGGGAAGAGGAACCCACCAGGTTCTTCTTCTGGTTTGACAAGCAAAGCAGAATAAAAAGTTCATAAAAAAGGATGGATTTAAGGAAAAGCATATTGCTATACCACTCACAGCCACTTCTCTGAGTTTCAATTGGGTGGTGGTTTTGTTTCTTTTTTTTGTGGGGATGGGGAGATGATGTAACAAGTAGAATTTAAGCCTGTGGTTGGCTCTGTTTCCCTTTTTGGTGACAGTGCAGATCAGCCCTGGTCAACATGCCTGCCTTCCAGAAAAGATGGATTCCAACACAGCCAATATTATGTCCAACAAATCTGATGGCACCAGATTGGGAAGGCTGGTTAGAAGCTCTGGTTAGAACCAGAGTTCATGTTTGCAATATGCAAGGAATGGATAAAGGATGAGAACTGCATGTTCAAATATGCTATATGGCTTGGCTTCCATATTAGAGATGATTAATAAACCTGATATTTTATTCTTGCACAGACTGGAATTGGATCAGGAATGGTAAAGTTCACTAAGACTGTCAAAACGAATAGTAGTATGAGAAGAGGGGCTTCTGAGCCATCTTATATCTAAATGCAGGCAACAGAGGTGAAAGGAGGGGGTTACAATAAAGACAGAGGGTGATTGGGGACATTCTTCTATTCATTGGCAAAATCTGCATACTGATGTTGATCCATCTGAGAAAGACATCCAAAAGCTTCACTTTCATGTAATGGAACTTAACCATCACACAGTAAGAACAATCAACCTGCTTCAGTCCAAAAGATATTTCTACTATGAACTACCACTTTTGTTTTGCTCCAGCCTTATACAGCTTTTTCCTTTCCTTTCCTTTCCTTTCCTTTCCTTTCCTTTCCTTTCCTTTCCTTTCCT